GTGGGCCCAGACACAGATTGCACAAGATTAAAAGAATCAATGAGGTTTAAAAAACCCTTTGCCATTGGCTTATCTGGACAACACACATGAACATTAAAATCCCCAACAATAAGAACACGGTCATATCTAGGCATGATTTCAGCCAGGAAATCAGAACTCGACAGCAGAATGTGGAGTTCTGGCTACAGAATACTTAACTGCTCCAACCAACTTTTGTTAAAGGTCCCTTGTGTAACATGTAGGAGGATTAACTTGAGCAGATGGAATCTAATATTCATTACTATGTTTTTATTAGTGGATAATCACCTGAATATAGGAATTGTTGAGTTGAGTCCTTCCATGGAGTCCGCCACATTGAGCTGCCATGTCACTACAGTAGCCCAGAGAGGACAAACCAAATTCTGGCTGTAGATAGGGCCTTTCATGTTTTTCGCAAGTTTCGCAGCCATCTTAGCTTCTCCTACACACTTCGCAGCAAGTTTCATTCTCAGGTCATCAAATACATCTGTGTTCAGGCTGTTGGAATCTGAAACTTCACTGTTAGATGCCACTAAATCCCACACACTGGTCCTTTAAGTGCTCTTTGCTGAGCTCCGACTCAGGGGGTATTGTGGGAAATGCACCTGGTTTGGGTCGCTTTCTGGAGTCTCTTCCTACGTTTATTTTTTAACCATACTCCAAGATGTAATGTTACTGTAAACGAGTGACATTGCTGTGACTTTTTTTCTTCTAGGCATGGTGGCACTAGTTTTTTTTTCAATTTGGCACTCACTTTCACCCAAAAGGGGGCGTGGCCGTTGTGAAATCAGGACGTATGGCCGCTCTCATCTATTCACATCTGATGCTGCCCAGTGTTATCACAGTCTGATCTGCTGACTAGTGAGCAGTTCCAACAGAGCAACTGTTCAGTGCCTTGCTTAAAGGCACCTCAGTAATGGTACATTTCTCTAACCTTTTGGCCCCTACTGTTTTAAGGTGGCAATAGGACAGAATCCCATGGTCTGATGACATAATGTTATTACGTTATTTTAGCAACTAAATCTCTTCTTAAAACTTTACCTTTTGTGCAAGATTTTGGAATTATTTGATATGTTTTTATTCCTATTTATTTGTTCTTACTCATTTTGTTGTGTCATTACTTCTGTGCTCATATTCCTTATTGTTGTTATCTGCCTCATTTAGTTTAAATAATTTCCTCTGTACAGCACTTTGTAACATTGTCAATAAAAACAAAGTTTATAAAACTTTTATACATAAAAATGAAGTTCTTCTTTTACATGCATGAAAGGTTTAATGCTATTTAAAGCAGGACAGTGGAACAGTGCATTGCTTCCAACATTCGGCTGATTATGTTACATGTGATTTTGCATACTTATATATCATTGTCTTTCCTCTAGCATGTTTTTTTCTCTTGTTCTTTATTTCTGTCTTGCCTTCATTTGGCCTAAGTGTCTGGCTCTCTGTTTGTTATATTACCTTTTGAGTATGCTTTATCTGCTAAAGCACTTTGTAAACTGTTTCTTAAGGTGCTATATAAATAAAGTTATTATTATTATACCATATCATGATATTCTGTATATCAATGGCAGAGATACATTTTTATTCATACTGTAATATATTGGCCTGAGCAGCCAACACACATCACTGTTTGCTTACTCGATAGCAAATAATTACCAACCTTTACATCTAGCAGACAGAGGAGTCATGTTTGTCCATCTGATGTGTTTACCCTGAAATCAATGTCTGGCTTCATTCACCATCTGCTTGGCATCATTAACGTGGCTGAGTGATTAACACAACGATTGCAAATTGATTGAAATGAGCTACAAAAGGCTAAAAATTCATGCTGCATGCATACACATGGACATTGTATTCTGGAGGGCTGGTCATACTTGTTCAACAGCCGGGTTCACAAGCTCGTTATTACAGTGAAGCTGAAATTAAGATTTTATGAGCTTACATTTATCAGTTAGAGAAATTAGCTTTAGTTCAGTTCAGATCTAAGCTCATACTTTCAAATGTCATAAATACACAGCTGAATTTTTAAATGAAAATCTTGCTTCCAACGCAGATTGTTTCCATCGCAGTTTCACATGATTCATGCACAGCCCCACTCTCCTCTTACTGTTCCAGCTAAAAGCCTCCCACTCACCACCTCATCACTTTTCTGTTCTGCTGCAGGCTCTCTCCCCCCTCATATCATTCCCTCCTTTCAACATCTCTTTTTTAAGGCACATGTTGTTCTTTAGATGGATTTACACCTACATTTTGGCATGGATTGGTGTAGATGATCACTTTGTTCTAGGGCGACTTACAGTGTAGCAGCGCTGTAAATCAATAATCATGTATTATTAATACTGTCAGCAGTTGTACAGTGAGGAGCAGACAGTGGGGATATGTTAGTGGCAGTGTCAGGACAGTGAAATAGGTGAACATTATTACTCATACATTTTGAGAATCTACAGTTTTGCACTGAAATTTCCCTGAAAATGTTTTCAATAAAAAAGCTTTAGTCACTTATATTCCAGGGTAGTTCTATTCTGACCATGGGCCCTCTGAAACTCTATTGTTTTATAAACTATCATGACAGAAGCATATAAATGAAACTTTTTGCTATTTGCAATTACAATTTGTGTTTCAAATTAAACCAATCCAAAAAGTATTCCAATTAATTTTGTGAGAGTTATTCAATATTAAGGCTGAAAATCTTTTAAGGGGAGTTCAGGGGTGAAAATATTAAAACAAAATCATTCATTTTCATGTTTGTCAATGAATCACTACTGTCAAAATTGAATGAAAGTTCTACCGCCAAACAATTTTCAGTGTGTACTGTCAAGTATAACCAGGCCCTCCAAAATGTTTATGGGCTTTTTGGGGGATTCTTGTGCCTGATTTCAGACTTTTTTTAAAAAACTTGTTATGCAATTGTTTGTAAGCATTTTTATTCTAATGAAATTGTGAGAGAAAGTGAAAATTGCAAATACAGTGCAATTAAATTAAATAGTGTAATATATTTATTAAAAATCGAAGGCATGTTGTTCCAGTGAGAATAGAAGAATAGAAAAGAAGAACTTTGGTGACGAATGACTTAAGGTATTAGGACTGCTATAATTGGTGGTGCAGGAAACTACAATGGTTGAATTTGCGGTCGCAGTGATCGCACAGAATTCACATATTGGTTTAATATGTTGCGATCGCAACTTCCAGGAAGGACTGTATAACACTGCCATATTTATAATTAAATTAAATGTGAATTTGAAATTTGCATACAAAATGTAAATTGAGCTTTTGCACTTGACTAAAATCACATCATCCATTTATGTGGTCAAAATAAAGTCAATGTGCTGTTAAAATGTACTGTTAATAGCTTTTTATTATTCAGGGAAGTATCAAAATGCTTCTTTTGCCTCAGCTGGCTGGAGAAGTGTGTTGGTGTCTGTGTTTGATTGACAGCAGCTGGCACACTGAAACACACCAATCAGCAGACACCAACCCACTGCTTTTGCTGCAAGAAAGCCATGTCTGCCTGGTATGAGGGAATGTGAGCTGAATTTAGACTGCCTTGCCTGGAGGTGCAGTCAAACAGGAGAACTCCACCACTTCAACAAAAGACAGCGCTTGATGTTTTAATGAAATGATTTTTAATAATTAAAAATAAATTTCATCAGTCATCCATCATCCATTCTTAATAGCAGCTATTAGTAACAGTAAATGGATTGAGTTTGTCATTTACCCAGGCAATATATTTTTATTACATTTATTAACAATTAACTCTCTTTGTTACCGTCCCTCCACTGCAGCCCAATACTCTACACTAGATATGAAGATTATAAGACATCCACTTGATTTGATGAAGTCAGACCGCTGAAGCCTCATATAAGCTTCAGATCAATTATGGAAATCATCTGCACAAAACGAGGACTGTGGATTTTCGTCCCCTATAGCTTACACTGAAAATGCATTAAGAAGGGATCTCCTAAAGTGGTGGTCAGTGGTGGCGGAAATTGACATGCCATATGTGTCTCACACTTGGGAAAGCAAAATGCTTCGATTGCGCCCCCTAGGAGGAGTTTGTTAAAGTACAACACCGGGAAAATGGTAAAAACTGTGCAGCAATTGGACATTAAATTCAAAATGGCTGACTTCCTGTTTGACTTTTTGGTCAGTGTGGACATGATACATGTGCTTTCCGATTTAGGTACATGTAGGTGAAACATGCTTCGGGGGCTGCTTTCTTGGAATTGTGTAGGGGGCATTAATCATGCCATTTTGTCACACCCATATCAGAGAGAAATTTGCCCTTAAAGCCCTTTAATGCGATTAATTTGGGATCAAACTAATTCCTTTCTTACAATAGGGCCATAATAATTCAAACCTCCTTATACAAAATAGCAAAAAACTCGAAAGGAAGAGCTGTTTAATGGTAGGAAATAAACCAACTAAACTGAACTACCTGAGAGGGTGTTGTTGTCAGTGTTCCTGTTAACAGTGGGAATCAGAGCCCTCACTCCTCCCTGCGTGAAATTCAGCTGCAGTTTGGTGACGCTGACTGTGACGGCTGTCTCACACTAGTCTGCTCCCTGCAGTCAAACAGAAATCAGAAAAAGGAAGACGCTGTTTGATGGAGGTCTGCTTTCTGTTCTTTTCTCCAGCTCTGGGGCAGCGAGGCTTGCAACTTCCATCACGTTTTATGAAATCTCTCTCTGAGCGACGGATAAGAGGTTGCCATAGCAACACAACATGTCTCCTAGCAGAGTAGTAGGATGCCCTCTCACCCAAACCTGCCTCCTCTCCTATTGTTCTAGGAATAGTTCAGCCTGTGTAAAGATGTTGAACACACACACGGTGCAATCTTACATAACATAAATAATGTGTACAGTCTGATTTCTCTCTGATTCTTAACACTGCATAAATAAGGACAGATGGACTACAATGAATCAGTGAACAAGGACCAATCTGATTCTAAAAAGAACAAACTGGAACAAATGGCAATAACCAGCTTGAGTGAGTAAGCTCTTTATTATTACTTTTTTGTTTGATGTAAGAATGGCACAGGATCATAAACCTCATTATAACTAACAGTGTTTGGTCAGGTGGTACGTCACTGCCCCACACCTGACGTGCACAGGCTGTAAACCCGTCACAGCATTGGTGTGGTAAAGTTCTTCACATTAACAAATCTGAATCAGATCACTCACACAGTGTGAAAAAGGCACTGGCTGCTGTAATTGTACAACACACGATTATCAGGAATGCATGATTATTATCGGGGCAGATAAGTTGGCTGATAATGGGAAATTGATATTATAGTAAATTATCCCGATTAATGAATTACAGCTGATAAGGTATGTTTCTTTAAAGTATGTTTGTGAAGTTTCATGATGAACTTTATTAGAAAAACTAAATAACCATTTGAAGAGTCAGAACTGTTGTTTCTCGTTGTGAAGTCAGTTTCAGTTAGAACAGAGCTATTGAATGTTAAATCATCCATCTTTGTTCACGACATTTTACAGGTTATGAACTTCTTTTTAAAATACAAAAATGTGAAATTATCAGTTATCTTATCGGTATTGGCCATTAGAAGCAGGTAATTAACAGTTATAATATCGGTTAAAAACAACTCCATATCGTGCATCCCCAATGATTAACCTGTGAAAACTGGTATATGTAATTCATTAATGGGCTTCATTTTATACTTCAAAGTACCCAGTTTTCTTCTTCTCTGTCCAACTGTGGGCAGAGGTCGGATCACTCAGTGGTGAAGGTGAAGCGTGTGACATGTCGGTAGTTCTCACCAGGACGCAGGAGACAATCAGGAAATGAGGTCTGAAGACACACACACACACACACACACAAAATTTTACTTTTTGGGGACATTACGTAGCATGACTTGCAGCAAAGGGCCACAGGTCAGATTCAAACCCATGGCCACTGCATCAACGACTCATGCCTTGGTACATGGGGCAACAAGCCCCTCTCTCCAACAAGCTACATTTTTAAGACCTTTTAGGACCATTATGAATGTAATTTAAGACCTATTTTATATCCATACTGGCAAAAAAAAGAAAATCTGTACTGGTTCCATGTCGGTTTGGTTTTGTAGTTGTGACAGCATGATCAAAACACATCATTGTGCTACTTAAGTAACATAATTAATCCGGTATATCTTTAAGACCTGTCAAACTCATATTTAAGACATTTTAAGGCCTAAAAAACAGACATGTTGACTGTTGACTATGAAGGTGCCGTTATTTCAGTAAATCTAAAAACACGCATGGGTGTTCTTTCTGTGGGCAAAGCTTTTTACAAATGAAGGTGTTTCGTGGCTTTCATGTGTTATGTTACACATGGGGGAAACATCAACCGGATTATTCTCTGGGGCCACGACTCTAAAAGGTTGAGAAGCACTGGCCTAAAGCAAGAATTATACTTTCTAGGTCTGCAAGTGTCCATGGGATTTTGTCATCAGAGGGTGCCTGTGGAAGCTCAGTACAGACGTCTGCGTACTGCCAGGTTGCTGTTACTGCCTAGACAGTCCGCACGCACACTACACTGTGGGTAATGCTCCAAGCAGACTCCAGAAAGTAGTATAAACAGAACTACTACACGGCTGCGGTGTCCGAAGCGGTCTTGAAGTTAGCTAGCTTGTTAGTTAGTTTATTATTCTAAATACAAGGTTGAAGGCTAAAACACATCGCCTCAAATATCGAATATGCTGTCATTATCTGGAGTAGTGTTTCCGCCAATGTCTCACTATTTTCCTGTGCTCGTGGACTTTTGTATGTTTGTATGTATGATATCGACCTGCCAGGGACTGCCGATAAAAAGTTCCAGGTCCAGGGCTTTATCAATGGTTAATAATCCTTTCCAAATACTTTTATTATTAGATTATGAGTTAAGTTACATTTACAAAGGAAGATGCATTTCATCCTTCTCAACAATATAATCAAACAGATCAATATAAACAACATCTTATCATCCTCATACCTGGTTGATGGCATCGGGCCAGTTCTGTGTCTCCAGACAGAAGGAATTGTGCTTCCTGTACCTAGCCCCGCCCTTTCCTGTAATAGAGCCATCCAGGAAGTTGGCAGTGTAGAACTGGACTCCTGGTTGGCTGGTGGAAACCTCCAGGACACGCCCACTGGCTGGGTGACACACTCTGAAGTCATAGATGAAGAAAGAGGTTTTTATTAAAGACATTGGTGTGTGTGTGTGTGTAGAGTGTGTGCAGTGTGTTTGAGACATAGAGACAAACCTGGCAGCGTGTCTCTCTGCCCAAGTATCACCGGGCGATGACAGACAGAAGTTGTGGTCAAACCCCGGACCTGGAATTTCCTTCAGCCGAGGGCCAATCAGAACAGGCTTTCTGAGGTCAAAGGGTGTGCCTTCCACTGCTCTGATCTCTCCTGTGGACAGACTAGGTTATTGATTGGTGATTGAGTATTAATGAATAAATGTTAGATAATGAGGCACAGTCCATTCTCTGAAAAAGGGGAGGGAAAAAAGTCATGTGAGAAATTTCAGCAAAATGTAGCATCATCATGGGAGTCCATTAGTTAATGAATTAGTGGCAGTGTTATATTGGATTGAATGGAGCCCCCTGAGGGACTGGCAGAAAAAACATGCATGGAAATCCATGTGCAACAGCTTTGGGGAAATTCTGCCATTCAGATTAAAAGTGCAGAATCATAATTCTTTTAGAAACACAGGCTTTCAGAAATGTAATGCAATGTGACTGTAAATGAACACCAGAAAATAGTAAAAATACTACTGTATATTAGACTATAAATAAACAGGTCACAGCATGTTAATTGGGGCTGAACTGCAGTGATAAAATTCTTATTTTTATAATCAGTTAGCTGTACTAAATGTTACTGGCTCAGTGTGCACTACTCTGAGACAATACTATCCCATCTCTCACCCTCAATCTATCCTCCTGTTGGGGATTTAACAGACAGTTAGCACAGAGGCTGGAGAAATAGGCAGGACCAGCTTGTCAAGACTTGAGTACAACCCTCTACTTTTAACTCAGCATGACACAGAATTGATTCTATATTTTCAAGTCTTGTCAGCCCTTGAGGTGGATTTCCATTCTAACACAGATTCTGTGATATAAATAAACAGTCATTAGCTCCCCTATCTCCAAGGGAAACCAGAGCTAATTGTGGAGTAATGAGAGTGTTTGTCTGACAGAGCACGAAGGAATGCACTCCCACACTAAAGTACAAGCGTTCATGCTTCCACAGAGACATGATGGACTTAACATATGTAAAAAGTAAATGAGGACTAAACTAGCATTATCTCAAACTGCAAAAAAGACAATAGGACCTGACCTCTGGAAATAGAAACACAAGAACACAAAAGATCATTCTGCTGTGGAGCCAACTGTTGTCTATAATCCACTTGACTGTTTCAGCTTCCTGTGGCTGGTTAATACTTGCCAGTTGCACAAGCTGTTTTTTCAGTACAGACAATATCTGGTGAATAAAGCTCATGATTTCATGTCTTGATATTAACACATTCTCATTAACACATCTTGTAGAGTCTGGAATACCTCTGTAAATTGACTTATTTACTCATATGACTTCTTAATCTCAAAATGTAGTAAACTGATTTACTGTTAACTACATGTAACATGATAAAAGATTTTTTGGCACTCTCTGCCCTTTTTGCACAGCTAGTTGAATAGACAGACAGGAGATACAGTGAGAAAGAGTTACAGTTACAGGAGTCTTAACCACTAAGCCAACACTAGTTTGCACCTTTTGAGAAACCCAATGACAGGACAATTTAATATTTTATATCAACTAAATTCACCTGCCACTAGATGTCACACTAGAGCACCAGCATCTCAGACAAACAATGGGCAAAACCGTCCACCAGACTCCATTGACAAAACCAGTAATTTTACCATAACAGATAATTGTAAATCACACTCCAAACTGGACAGAAGCAAAAGAAAACTCACCAAAACTGTCTCTGCTAGTTCTTCCACTGTTCTCTAATCACCAATGCTGGTTTGGTTGAAATTACTTACAGAGTTAGATAAGAAAAAAGCAGTGAAACAGGATCCTATTGCTGCCATATAAGTCCATCCACTAAAAGTTGTTGTTGCCACTGAAAGGCTCACATTGTTATTCTAATTGTCTGACAACATTATGGAAAGGATCCCTACAGAGATAGACCTTTTGTTTAAGCAGAAATAAATCAGTAATACCACTATCGCTCAGCAGTAGACTCCATAGACAAAAACAGTAATTTAGCCTCAGATAACATCCTAACTTTATTTAAAGTGGACAGAAACTAAATAAAAACTCACCAAAACAGTCTTTGTTAGTCTTTACAGTGTTCCAACAATTATTAACTCTGCTCTAGTGGAAATAAATCCTTAATTCACCAAAGTAGATGATAAAACAGCAGTTTTAGTCGCTTTATTCAGTTGCACTTTGAATGACACACATGGGTGGCCAGACTGGCAATGGAAACAAACCACAGAGAGGCTGTGATAGCAACACAGGCAGAGTGTGACACCATGACTCCACTGTATCTTAGCGAATACAAAGAGAATAGTTGTTCGCTGCTATATTAATGTTTGAAATCTCATGTATGTAACCTTTAATGATACTAGGCATTTGTATCTTTACTTTATAGTTTTCAACTTTGATATCAAACACTCTGCATTAGCTTTCTGCTGTTCTCACACTGGCAATCAGAGTGAGGGTCTAAAATACAATTAAGGTTTACCAGGACAACATAAATTATTTCCAGGATGTTTTATTGATTTCCAAGGTTTCCATGACTGGAAAAGTAGTCTCTAAATATCCAGGTTTTCATATACTTTAAACACTTTAAACACTTTAAACACGGAAACCCTTCCGGGCGCCCGGTTAGCTCAGTCGGTAGAGCTGGCGACCCATGTACTGAGGCTGAGTCCTTGCTGCAGCGGCCCAGGGTTCGAATCCGACCTATGGCCCTTTGCTACTTGTCATCCCCTCTCTCTGCACCCCTTTTCTGTCTATCTTCAGCTGTCACTATAATAAAGGCAATAAGCCTTTATTATAGTAACAAGCCCCAAAAATATACTTTAAAAGGACAGTGTGTAGGAATTTCTCCCATCTAGTGGTGAAATTGTATTTTGCATTCAAACGAATAGTGCTCTCTAGTGCCTCGCGTTTTCAAATGCGTAGTGCAACTACGGTAGCCGTTATGTACCAAGAAGCCTACCTGTCGAGGAGAAAGCAAGCAACTTCAGCGTCCCTTTGAAAGCCTTTCTCCTTCATTAGCTCTTTCCACCTGGGAAAAGCTACCCCAATGTTTACCTTCGTTTTTGAATTCGCCAGTCACGTTGCCTTTTTAATTCCCTTTTTCGCTTTTTTGGCGACGAGGATTCCTTCTCCTGTGGCTCGGCATAAGTATGATCCTCCATTATTAACTGAAGTGCAGTGTAGACTTTCAAATGTGCCGGGGCAGTGACAAGCGCCTCTCACTTATCTCCTTCTCCGTTATAGCTGGTTTCAGTCACGTGACGCTGGCTCTGAACGAAAACGCGTTGTGGATTAGCTAGACAGGTAGGCTAGTGCTCTATGTCCCTCTCGGCGATTATTGTTTTTCAAAATGGCGGAACGACATGGACTTGCTCGTCCAATGTATATACAGATAAGAAATTCTTCGCTTATGAGGATAAGTCAGATCATTGGCAGAGGTAATTTTACACCAATGAGGACACATTTATGAATGAATTGATTTTAGCTAATAAAAAACTTAAAACACTACACAATGTCCCTTTAAAAAAATTTAAAAAAAAAAAGAAACCCTTCCGATTGCTGTGTTCATTTTGTTAGGAGAGAACATGTATGATGAATCTTTTACCTGTAGGAATCGATGTGTCATCCACAGGCAGGAAGGACTGAGCACTGATGGACACTACATGGTCGTACATATCTGCTGCACCCTACACATACCCATGCACAAACACAAACACAACACACACACACACACACACACACACACACACACAGAGGGACAAAAGTGTCTGTATACATCAGATTTGAGCACAGTGCCTGAAAGGACAGCAAAGCAGTTCACTGCACAATGTAAATGTATGTTGAATGTGTGACAAATAAACTTGAAACTTGAAGATGATCATAATGGTGAAATATTATGTATCTTTCCTGCTGCATGTCTTCCAATTTCCCACAGCACTTATACATTAGATGATCATAGAGCTGATCAAGTGCCCTTACCTGTCCCGCCAGGTTGAAGTAGGAGTGGTTGGTGAGGTTGATGGGGGTGGTTTTGTTAGACCGGGCTTGGTATTCAGCAGTTAGTGTTTCCCCCTGAACACACAGCTTAAATGTTACTGAACTGACATCTGCTAACCATTTATTAATATGCAAATAAATACAATGGAGTCTTTTGTTTTCTTAAAGGACCAGTGTGTAGGATTTAGTGGCATCTAGCGATCAGTATCTGACAACCTGAGAACGAGAATGGGCTGTAGGTGTGTAGGAGACACTACGGTGGCCGTGAAACTCGTGAAAAAGGCGAAACGCCCTATCTACCACAAGTATTTGGTTTGTCCATTCTGGGCTACTGTAGAAACAAGGTGGTTCAACATGGTGGACTCCATAGAGGAGGTCCCACTGCCTCTATAGATAAAACAGCTCATTTAAAAGGTAACAAAAACACAATTCCTATATTCAGGTAATGATATATTACACTAATGAAAACTGAAAACAGACAGACAGACAGACAGACAGACAGACAGACAGATAGATAGATAGATAGATAGATAGATAGATAGATAGATAGATAGATAGATAGATAGATAGATAGATAGATAGATAGATAGAATAGAGAGATAGATAGATAGATAGATAGATAGATAGACTATATTAATCCCCGAAGGGAAATTGGGTGGTCATAGCACCCAGGTACATTTAAATACAATAAAATACAATAGAATAAAATACAACAATAGAATAAAATATCTACTGGAAAAGATAAAAAAATGATAAAAAAAGATAGATAAATAGGTAGGTAAGGTGCAAAGAGTTGTAGTTGCAAGATGGTGGTAATAGTACTGATGATATGATGGTAGTGTTATTGTTAATAACAGTATATAATGATAATATTAATAATATTTATAATAATATAACAATAATATGTATATATAATATGATGACTGAACAGATATACATGTATACACATACAGATATTATACATCAGAATTGATATAATGTAAACATGTGTCATATATTCAGCCTGTGCAAGGTGTGCATACATACATACTGTAACATATATATAATATGTACACATATATATATATATACACAAGATATGATATGATATATAGCATATGTATAATAGATACTTGACTATACAAGAAGATATACATTATACATACAATAGATAATATCTTATATATTGTTATATAATAATAATAATAATAATAATAGTAATAATAATATAATATTACTAATATAATAATAATATATTGTATAAATATGATATATAATATCAACATGGTTTATATTAACACATATAACATATGATAGTATATGATGAAGTATATGTTCCACTGGTAGATTTAGTCCAGTTCTGTAATTGTGAATCTGACAGAGGCAGATGAGTTATAGAGTCTTATGGCAGTGGGGAGGAACGATTTTCTATATCGTAGACCTATGAATATTATATTATATTTGCCAGTAGATACTCCTAAATGTAACACACTGGAACCTTTAAGACTAAAAAGTTCATTTGAATTCAGTGAAATTATTAAACAACTGACAACAAAATCAATACGGCATTTTGCAATGTGTAAGACAAATTTCTTTGGGGAAACAAGAGTAAATAATATAATTACTCAACATCTATCAAATTTGTATGGAAGCCAAATTTCCACCAATGTGACAGAAAAAAGGGATTCTGTGCGCCATTGTAATGAGAAACCTTCTCAAAATACTGACTTAGCATCTCAAAATAATGACTTAGTATCTGAACATTTTGAGAAAGTTTCTCATTATAATGACTTACAGGATCCCTCTTTTCCCCCATCACACTGGCAGAAATGGGTTTCCATAAATGTAGACCTTTTTATCCAGTGTTGTTTGGTTTTCGGTGCTCTGCACTGATCAAACAGGCGGTTTAGGGCTCATTAAATAGACTGATCATCATCATTCAAGAGCCCAAACTCTTTAGTCACATGATCCCGGAAAAACGCAATTCTCTCGAGACATGTTTGGGATGCTCTCAGGGGAAATAGCTACAGAGCTGTGAAGTTATGAAGCAGGTGTGTTTACCTGTAGGGTGTAGGAGACAGAGACCTGAACCTCTCCAGGATAACCCTGGTCTCCATCTGGACTTGTAAGACTCAGCTGAATGCCACCGTCGACTGCTGTAGCAAGCCAGATAGCCTCAAGAGAATAACACATACATACAGTATTATACAGGGTACACAAATAGGATTAAAAACTGGAAGAAGTCTTTGTTACAAGAGATCAAATAAATTCTGTTCCATTAGCTACACCCGCCAATCCCAGCTGACATAGTCGGCAAAAACCTGCATGTCTTTGGACTGTGAGAGGAAACCTGCAGATAGGACATGCAAACTCCACACAGAAAGACCCCAGCTGGAACCCAGAACTGTCTTGCTGTGACGCAACAGTGCTAACCATCGTGCCACTCTAGATCAATAAGACGTAATGTAAAAGAAAACATTACATCAACAGTCAGGATGACGCGATCCGATCTCAGAGATCTGTATTGAGGCCGATCAAGGCATTTTTTACTGATTGGTATCAGCTATATTGGGCTTCATTGACCCAGTATTTGTATTTAAAATATGTATTTAATGTAATGTAATTGGTATTTGACAGAGCTGAAAAAAGTCAAATGAAATTTGTAGAGTGGAGTAATTTTATATTTTCTCCATGATTCATAAAACATACAAAACAAGACATGGTCAATATCTAGTATATGGTGGGACCATGACTGAAAAGCTACAGGGCTTTTAATTTGAAATGAAAAAAGCAAAGCTGAGTTAGGTACTGTTCACTTTCTGGAAGACACCAGAAGAGACCTGTTTCTCTGGAGCTGTACCCTCTGATTGAGCTCCTTTTCGCTCAATTTAACACAACCCTCCCCTCTTCAGCTGCAGCTAAGAGACTGTTCTCATTTGCCGGAATGATATTCCACCCACACAGGAGGCCGGTAACACCAGAAATATATGAAAAGTTAGTTGTTCCTAGGGGCAACTAATAGGCTACTATTTGAAGTGGTTGGATTTCATCTGCCCTGTCACCGAATTGGAACGAGAGCAAGATCTACATACCGTGCAAGACATACTATTTGCAGTATATTTTGTTGTTGGTTTGTTTAATACTGTTTCACTTAGATGCAGTAGCATTCTACTTCCTGTGCTTCTTTCCTGTAGGATTCTGAAAAAAAAATCTGACTTCTAACTACTTTATGTCTGCTGTCAGCTGCTTATGTGGACACTGAACACATGCAATCTGTCCCTTCTCCCTACAGCTCTATTTACAGCTTATGCTTAAAACATCAGCATGTGATGCAGCTTAAGCAGCGCAATAATAAAAGTGTGTTTATCTAAATTAGATTCATACGCAAAAGCCACACAAACGTGCAGATAGATGCATGGCACAAGCACACAAATACACAGTCCTCAAAAAATGTATTAGGTGTAGAGTTTTTTATCTGTGTGTGTGTGGGGGGGTAGCTGATGAAGCAGCTAATTGAATTGTCAGCAATTAGCCAATGCTGTGTACAGTTTAGCCCTCAGGCAGAATGAGCAGACTGCTGCTTTAACTACAAACCAATACTGACAGCCTCATTGATGTATTAACCTTTTAACCTGTGTGCTGCTAACAGATACCAGACATCTGTTGAAATGTATGTACTATGGCAATAACTGGCAATTATCAACCCTTGAATGTTGGTCTGTTTGTTGGTGGATCCATCACATACAGAAAGCCCATACTGAAATATCTCAACAACTATTGGATGGATTGCCATGAAAATTGGAACAGGAATTCATGGTCACCAGGGGATAAATCCAAAATACTTTGGTGATCCCCAAACCTTCCCTCTCACACCACCAGCAGGTTGAAATGTTCTCATCTCTAGTGAACATTTTTAGAGCTTGGCACCAAGTGTAAACCTATTATAACGTCACCTATTGGTTTATGGAGTACTGTTTTGAAGCCTTAAGCTTGGCATTATGGTGGTCGCCATGTTGTTTTTTCAGCCAGCAGAGGTGACGTACTGCGAGTTAAGCTGCTCTCATTGGCTGTGCAGTTTCAACAAGTCTGAAGCAGGAAACAATGGCAGCTCGCCTGGTCACACACACTGTCATATTACAGCTAAACAGTACACTGAAATATGTTTGTGAAACGATTTTAGGAGATAAATAGTCCACGCAGTAACAGAATCTGGATTCATATCTGATCAGCACTGTCTAGTTTGACAGTTTGATCTGAGTTTGGTGTGTTGAGCTGGACGGACTCACTAAGAATGACCTGTCAATCACAAGGTAGCCCCGCCCTAAAGTATACCCTGCTTTATGGTCTGTTTTACTCTAAATGGGACCATCATTTACTAAATGAACATCATGCTGTATGGAAGAAGACTGAAACTAGAGACTGAGACCAGAAACTCATTAGGAAACTGTTTACTGAGACAATAAATCAAGTCAGAAGTAGTTTTGTTTTCAACGGAGATGAATACAAGCGCAGGTCTTTTTGCAACCAATTGAGCAGCCCCCACTGGCCAGTTCTCAGACCCGGAGGCTCTAATTATATACTGTCAATGACTGGTACAGACATTCATGGTTCCCAGATGATAACTCCTGCTGACTTTAATCATCATTTTGCTGCAGTGCCACAAGACAGAAATTTGCATTTAGCTCAAAGCACCAGTGTTCCTGGATATAGCCTCAGATTGCTACTAGCAGGGCTGACCAATTAAAAAGAATAAAGAAATGATTCGATTATCATGAGGCTAAATTTGAAGTTACAGGGAGCAGATTGGGTCTACATGGATATATGGACATGTATCCTAAAAAGACCCAGCAGAATGTCTATGATGTTTGTGTACTCTGGATTAACACAGTAAAAAGGGGTGTGACTGAATGTAAAGCAACATGTATTTACACCAAGCGCTGTTTCCTTTAACCCTGGTTCTTTGAGCAGGCTAGAACGATGGCATCTGAACACTAGTGGCAACAAGTCTTAGCACAGAGAGAGCAAACACAGTACAGCAAACCACCCAACAATGGATTACGGATTATGGGTATCACGGAGATAGATGTTGTCTAGCGATTCATCACACTTGCAAAGCCTGGCATGTGAAAATAACCTGTCTGGACAGATGATCGTTTTAATTACTGTATTACTTTACTGTGTTTTCACTGGCATGAAAATTACAAGCACAGACAGACTCACTCAAAACCTAATGGAATGATAGGTTACATTAAAACTTTCAGTCTGTAGCAACTAATAGTAGGACTTTCACACCACCACTCCATTTAAAGAGCAGAAGCTTGGCACTGAATCATGAAGATGTGACGCTGATAGGCATGAGTAGGTGCAAAACAAAAAGATTACTGAACCCACCCATGAACCCATGAAATTAAAGCTGCAGTAGGTAACATTTATAAAAAAATACTTTGTTATATTTGCTGAAACTTTCACTTTATCCTGACAGTAGAACATGAGAATGATAATCTGTGAAATAATTAGGTTCCTCCTAAACTCAGCATCTGACTCTGAGCCAGAGCCTACCACATACAAAAATGAGTTTGCCATAAATCTTAAAATTTGGCAATTTCAAATAAACGTATAGCTACTGGCCAACACAGCCTCTCCTCTCTTAAGGAGGAGGACAGAGTACAGGATGAATGACTGATACTGACTGTTTACTGGCATTTGTTTCCAGTGAGATATTAGAGTGTTTACAGTGGCTTTGCTGTTGTAAATGTTAGTGTTAATGCTCTACATTTAATGATGCCCTATTTCAAATATAAATTCCAATCCTGCTCTGAGTTTATTATTTTTCAGGACTGATTTTATTATTACTGTTTTTAAAGAAATGATTTAGAAATCAGCAGATAAGAGTATTGATAAAGAACTGGTGCACACCAGTAAAAAAAGTTGAATGTATTATTGGGTTCACCTAAATGATGTGATGCCATCAATGTAAAAAAGTTAGTCTGGAGTCTTGAGCAGGTCAGAAAAACACTTCCTGCTGGTAATGGAGCACACTTGTCTTTGTAAACTTTTAGCCCTGAAATGGATCTACCTGCAGACTCATTTCAATGATTCATTTTCATACTGATAAAAATCAGCTCATAACTCCGGTACATTGAGATTGATGTGTAAGGGTAAGAGTTCCACGTACATTACTATCACCTAACCATTGCACCAAAGGCATAACTGCAATGCATTGTTGGTGATATACACCACTGCAGTGACCATTGGTGTTGACTTGCTACATCAGCCCTCCGAGGAGGATCTCATTAAGGTCACTTCAGTTTTTCAGACAAATGGAACGACACTTGATGGTGGTGAGGACTGCCCGAGGGGAAGTCGACGAGGTCTGTTGAACGACTAATGAAACACAGTGTTAATGTTGGGGAACAGGGCCGAGTTAAAAGGGAGGAAAACAACCTTGCCATACAACTTTATGTACAAACCCTCATTTATGAAGGGAATGGTGAAAGCTATGTGAGACACTTAGAGAAAACAAATATTAGTATTTTTCCACTATTTTTGACAGAAAGCTTTCTACAAGCTCACTGAAGTTGATGAAACACAAACACATATTCACTCGATCTTACCTTATTGAAGCCCCGTAGCCCTCCGTGCAGTGCATTAGGTCCATTATTGATATCCAGTTGGTAGTCTTTTCCCTCCACTACAAAGTGTCCCCGTCCGATCCTGTTGGCCACGCGGCCTACCAGAGCTCCCAGGTAGCGCTTATCTGACACATAACCTGACAACACAACACAACACAACCCTTGTTATTCCTATTCACCTTCATCACATCATGCCTGACTTACATACTTACAGACATACTTACAAACTCTGATTTAAACGCTGGTGTTAAACGATACTACGACGGTGATTAAGATGTTAATAAGTTGAGTTGGTGTCAACTTAATCTAAGGTTACGACTGCGGTAAAATTCCAAGATTAAAGTGGTAAAGAAAATCTCAGAAAAAGAGGTGTTAATTAATTAACAGGGATTAAAGCAAGAAAGCGAGCCTGGAAAGTTATCTGGGAGGAAGTGTACAATGTATTGAGTTAAGTATTATGTGAATTTAAAACTGTTCTATGCCTGAAATCATACTGTTAGAGTAAGAGTACAGTCAGTCGCAGCAATCACCCTCTAGGCCCAGTCTGTGTATAGTAAAAACTATTTCTATATTGTGAATTAGCTGCAACACATAAAAAGCCTCTTTGGTCTTTATAACGATTAAATGGGAACAGATATGCATTCTGGCTCTAGAAGCTGGCATACATACTGAATTCCCTCAGATGAAAATAGATATCTGTCATAGGGAACATCATCAGGGTAAACTAGAGGATTCTGACGGCCTCTTAACACCCTCGCCCTCCACAGAGAGCCTCTCACAATCTTTGCGCCAGCGTCTTCCAAATGTGCCATTTTTCTCCACAAGATTGCAGGGGGGGGTTTACAGGATAACGTCAAGTTAACCACAAAGCTAACCTGCTCAGAGCAGTTTAGACATGGATCGTAAATTGCCATGACAACATACCTCAGGTAAACTGATCCACCTTTTGTAGCACAAGTTAACCTGGAAGTTCCACCTGATGTCACAATGTTACTCCTAACTGAAGTTATTTTTTTTTTTTATACCCCCCCCAAAATAAAACCAAAAAAAAACCCCCAACAAAAATTTTTTTTTTTTTTTCTTTTTTTATTTTTTTTTTGTAGGAGGGTAGTTTGTGATGAAAAAAGTTAAAAGATAAAACTGACACACACACATATATATATATATATATATATATAATGTTAGCAAAATGCTAGCAAACTAACGAGTGAAGTAAATTAGCTAGCTTGTTAGCTAAAATCTTTCTAAATGTGCTTAACTGTACAAACAGAATAGAGCAAAAAGGATTTAGGGCGCAACATTCTTATCTATTTCTGAAATCTAAGCATTTTATTCATTTGGATTATTTTCCTTCCTACCTTCCAGGTCATCGTAGCCCAGGACTACATCTTCCATCTGACCATCCTTCCCTCTGCTGTACACAGACCTGATGATGGCACCCAGGGTGAGAACCTCCACCCGCACCTGGGAGGACTGGAGGACCCACAGGTCCACACTACCCAGGCCGGGCACCTCTCCCCACTGCTGATGGCTTACCTGAGTCATCTTGGACCTTAAAGCAACCACAGCAGGGAAGTTTAGAACAGGACATTACATTAAAGGGACAGTTCACCCCAAAATCAAAATGACACATTCTTACCTGTAGAGCTCTTTATCCAGATAGATGGTTTTGGTGTGAGTTGCTGAGTTCTGGAGATATCAGCCATCTCTCCAATATAATGGAACCAGATGGCACTGGGCTTGTGGTGCTCAAAGCGCCAGAAACAGCAACGTCTCTTTCCAGAAATCATGACCCGGTTACTTTGTTGTGAACTATTTTCTATTTTTGACCAAACTACACCAGCCCACTGTAGAATCTCAGTGGGCCAAGTGAGCTAGCTATGTGATATATAGAAAGAAAATAGTGCCTATGTGAAACTGCTCACAACAAGGTCTGTGGATTATCTTGAATACGTTTTTTTTGCGCTTTAACAAAGAAAAGCAAATTTGTATTGTTTTACAGTTTATACCCTACCTCAGAAATAAAAATATTCTTTCATTTGATTTTTTTATTTTGTAGATGTTTGTCTGAGAAATAACGCAAAGCGGTTTGGAGGCTTGTTTGTTCCATCTGCCATCAGACTCCACAACGCCACAGCACCCAGTACCTCCAACCCCCGCTGACTAAGACTGGTTTAAACTCCAACCTCAGACGCACAAACCTTTTGCACAACTATTTATATTTCATTTCTACATGTACAGTTTAGTTTTTAGTCAAGCTGCTCAAATATTTGCACACCATTCTTACTTGAATATATCAGTGTATATGCTGTCATTTATAGTCTTATCATTTCTATTATATTTTGTAATATTTAATTTTGTGATATCCTGTTGTACCTCCACTTCTGTACTCTTCTCCTAAGGGGGATCAGTAAAGGTACATTTTATCTTCTCTTGAATCTCATTTTGTTAAGAAAACCGGGAGAAAATCATATTGTGAACAAAGTATCATGAATGGGTTCAGTGTATCGGTACATCCTACCAGACATATCTGCGGCTGATATTTTCAAAACTCAGCAACTCACACCAAAATGATCTAGATGGATAAGCAGCACTATAGATCAGAGGAAACATGTACTTTTGGGTGACCTGTCCCTTTAAAATGTTTTTTCTACCTTAACCTATAACTCATTGGCTACATAGTGACGTACTGTGTGTCCAAGTGGATTGACAGTATGTTTACATGCATACACATACACAAAGAGTATACTAATTCACAGTGAATATGCTTTTTTTAAAGAAAAAGTGTCTTTTAACGTGCCTTGCTTTTCCCACTAAGGCTGATAACCATAGCCTGTTATTGCTAGCTCACATATGCTATGAAAGGTAAACACTGTGGAAGGTAGAGTGGCGGCAGGGCGGCTGGCTGCTGTTACAGTGTGTGAACTCTTACCAACCAACTGCGGCTCACACTGTCTCACCTGAAAACGCTTTATCAACTCACAAGACTTTAGACCTTCACATGTTTACATTCCACTTCCGCCTTCTCCTCCTCCTCCTCCTTCTCCTCCTCCTCCTCTTCTTCTTAGGGTTTTAACGGCGGTTGGCAAACCAGCTTGTAGGTGCATTACCGCCACCGGCTGGACTGGAGTGTGCAGCAGTACATTGGCAGGAAAATAACAAACAAAATAACTAAATTCTCTCTATTATTTTTTAATAATTAGTTAAAATATGATGATTCTCCAATGTCGTCTGTCTCGACCAGTTGGGGTGAGAGAGAGAGAGAGAGAGAGAGAGAGAGAGACAGACAGACAGACAGACAGACAGACAGACAGGTGCACAGTCAGTCAATCAATCAATCACAGTAGTAGTAGAGTAGCATACAGAGACATTACTAATAAGGGTAGGGGAGGGTATGTTTTCATTAGTGTATAATCACCTAAAAATAAGAATGATTGTGTTATTGTTACCTTTTACTGTTTTTATCTACAGAAGGAGCGGGTCCTCTGACATGTTAAACTGCCATGTTTCTGTCTCAAACACTGGCTTTCTCAAGGCCACCATAGTTTCTCCTACAAGCCTGGAAGGCTGAGCTGTATTCAAATGGTTGAATCTGCAGCTTCACCACTAGATGCCCTTAAATCCTACACACTGGTCCTTTAGAAGCATTTTCCAGCCTGTGTTCCTTGCCTCAGGTAATGTATGTCTACAGTGTACAATAATGTGCTCAACATCTTCCACCACTGACGAAGATTTGAAGGACTTTTTCCAATTAAATATAGCATTAAATTAAAACCTGTGTGCCATGTATAGATCACCTCTTCTCTCTGATTATGATACCCTCCTTTAAACTGCTTTTCGTTACCAGACCTCTGTATGCTAATGTTTCCCTTTATTGTCTGAAAGCCATTCCTTCTGCCAGGCGTTAATCATGGCTGCTCTGATTACAGCTGCTTCTCCCCTAACATAAGCTGCTTTTATCACTGTAACATTGTTAATTTTAGAACTCTCTATGCAAATTTATCTTTTCATTTCTTTTAACACCCATATGAGCAAGGATCCAAGAGAATGTCCTTTGTAGACTCCAAAGAGCATTCTGTGTATTTCTATATTGCTTGTATTGATGAGGAAGCCCTGACAGCTGCCGCTGAATCTGAACAAATGAATGCCTTTAATGGCTGCTCCAGCCTCTGAAAGCCAAGAATGATTGCAATAATCTCTTCAGAAAATATGGACAATTCTAGTCTGTGATACAAAGTTCAAAGTTAACTTTTATATTATTCTTCAACACAGGGTTACAGTGTAGTTTAAACTGTAGTCCCTTTATGCTACACACAAACCTCCAACTATATTTTATGTTGGAGTGTGGAGGATGAACGAGGAGTCTCGCAGCCTGAGGGAGGAAGTTACTTTGTAGTCTGGTGGTACAATAGTGGATACCTCTGTATCTCTTGCTGGAATGCAGCAGGATGAACAGGTTGTGGCTGGGGTATTCTTGTCTTTTAGAATCCTCTAGACTGTGTGCAGACACTTCACCTTACTAATATCAAAATCCCATCCCATGCCAATTTGTAATGTTTTCCAGTCAGGATGCTTTGTATTGCTCCTCTGTAAAAGTTGCAAGAACTTGGCACTGGAATTTTGCACTTGTCTAGTGTGTGGCATTTAGCAGCATCTAGAGATGAAGATGAAGAGTGCAACCATTTGAGTACAGCTCAGTCTTCTAAGCAGGAGAAACTACAGTGGCCACGGAACTTGTGAAAAGCCCTACAGCTTTTTTTATTGCTAAGGCAAATTTGAATTTGAAATTGAACAATATATTAACTGTTAAGAGTTTACTTAAATAAATTAATATACATTTACATAACAAGTAAATAACAATAAATAAAACCTAACCCAAGTTAGTTGAGTTAGTATTCTACAAACTCCAGCTTCAAACTTCAAAAATGCTGCTGTCATCATCATCAGTGATCTCTAAATGTCAAGTCAATATGGCACATCACACTTCTATTTATATCTGTGTGCCCCATCACTGGGGCGAGGCATGGGGTCACACAGGCAGTGGAGAACGGTGCATCCCTGTCCTTTCAAGTGTGTCACAGTGTCCTGTGTGTTTCCAGATGCTTTCCTTCTTTACACACAGTTGTTTTTATTTAGCTCAGCATTTAACCGTGCTTATGGTAGCCATTAGCTGATGGTAGGCTACCTGCTGCCAGAGCCATGTAGTGAGTTGTCTAATGTTAACTAGTGATAGCACATGTGCAGTGATGCCTCTGTTGTGCAACTATCTCAATAGAAAGCTCTGGTACCAAAACGAGGCACCGACATCTACACTGTGATTCAGTTCAGTAGGTATTGGTCATGTAGTAGCTAGTGCTATATTGGCATCATGTTCAACATGGTGGCCTCTGACCCGCTCTCTCTGTTGATAAAAACAGCTCATTTGAAGGTAGCGAATACAAAATGATTCTTATTTTCTGGTCATTATACATGAATGAAAAGGGGATGAATGAGGGAGTTGCAACTACTGCAAGTACACCGTTAAATGCCAGTAAATCCTACACACTGGACCTTTCAAGAGAAAATTAGACACCAGTTGGGGGAAGACATTGCATGACTTTATTCTGCTCTCTCTAGAGCAAAGCTCAGAAAATGTCAAATATTCCCTTCCTGAAAAATAAACAGATTTGTTCACAAATGTCAAGTGATATATGCATACATAATATATGGCAGTACAGACATTACATGAAACATTAGAGCAAAACTGCTGACTCTTGTCCATAGCCAGATTATTCACTTTATGTTGTATAGAACACACATGCTCACCCTTTCCCCATGATTACCCAACTACATATGCACACTGAATTGTACACTTATTGTCTTAGAATGATTGTATAATGTATATACAAGTGGTTGCAGTTCAGCATGTTGTGCATGTGGCTTCTTCACATTGTGCTCCTGTAGGATTCCGCTGCCTTTATGTTTGCTGTATAAGATAAAACAGGAAGCGTCCTTTACAGAGGAATGCTAGCAGTGGATATTGCTGTAATGCTGGAGCCAGATGTGCAAGTAATTTGCTAAATGACTAATTAGGTAGACTTTACAAAATCATTGCAGCAAGATGAGTTAACAGTTTGAAAAAAATGTTTTATGCTTAATCATGATCATTCACCTATGTCATTTGATAAGTACTTACTGGTGGAAGCACAGTTGCATCAGAGAAGTCTAGGCACCATCTTTGATGTGGTTATCAGAGAGATTTTCATTAAAATGGCTGCAGGTTCCCTGAAAAACAGCTTTTGTGTGCAGCTCCTCTATTATTGTGTACTGAAAGTAATTTTCTTTTGTAATTTAAAACCCGAGCTGTGGGAGCCAGTCAGTGTTTTCCAAAGGCCCCTTAAGTTTCTGAAAAACGTTGCATGTGCCTCTGGGTCCTTGCATGTACCAGTACGAAATACGAATACTGAGGCGAGGCAGGCAATCGCAAAACTGATCAATTTATTGTGTTTCAAAAAATAAGCAGCCGTTCAATGCGTACTCCAGTTTGATTGCTCTTCAACAGAAGAACGGGACTGACCCAGATTATACATGACAATTAACTTTAGTCTTTTTTTGGTATTTGATCACTTCTAATAAATAAAACTTTTTGTAAAGGGGCAAGTAAAAATTTACTTCAAGCAAGTAGATTTCTGACCCACTTCCCCGACCATGCAAGTGAAAACAAAGGCTAATGCTTGAATTGTGATTAAAGATAAAGTTAAAGAGTAACTTAAAAAACAAGACTCTGTAGTGGACGTCAGTGGTTCCCAATCTGGGGGTCGGGACCCCCACTAGGTGTCTTCAAAGCTCCATAGGGGGTTGCGAGGCCTTCTTGATTTTAGAAAACTTATATACTTATAAAAAAAACGTATAAAATATACACAATAGGCCTATATCTCAGCATGTGGTTCACTTCTGTGAAGAAACATAAAGGTTAAGTAGTATATCTAATAGAACAATGGCCAAACGCCAGGGACAAGAAAACCCTGAATTTGTCAGAAAATAAGTCTGTTCGGTCTGTATGATTATTAAAAATTATTAAAAATACTGGGGTGCCCAGTTGGCTAACTTTGGAGCTGGTGAACATGGGCCGAGTCCTGCAGCAGCCCAGAGTTTGAATCCGACCCATGGCCCTTTGCTGCATGTCATCCCCTCTCTCTACCCCCCCTTTCCTTTCTATCTCCAGCTATCACTATCAAATAAAGACAATAAAAGGCCCAAAAAATAATTTTGGATTATTAAAAAATTATTAAAAATGCATTATACAGACAGAGAATTGTATAAAAAGTTCCCTAAACAGGACATAATCTGCTCAAAATTCATCCAAATCTCTGCTTTTACACAAACTTCTTGCAGTTACTGAGTTCACTGTTTGGGTTCATTGTACAGTTTTGAATACAATATGAAATATCCATAAAATATGTCACTTAGTCAGGTATTGTCAGTTTAATAGAGGATAGAAAAGGGGTCCCTAGAGGAAATTGGTTGGGAACCACTGATCTCACTGTGAGAGGGTAGCTCTTAACAAAAGTCATTCCATCCGTCCAGAACAGATCATAATAGGTTATAAAAATTTGCAAATAAGTAGAAACTAGAACTTAGTATTAGTAATTTAGTAATTTCTTGCCAATACATTATAACTCCCACAGACTCTCCTACTGTCCTCAATAATTCTGCATGTGCAACAGCCAGGTATTTCAAGTATAACGTGAACACGACTTCAGGCTAGACAGAGAAAGATTCCCTTGTGTGTTGCTGTCTTTTAAATGTGTTTTTTTTTTTTTTTTATGCTTAACAGAGCCCAAAGTCAATCATTCAATGTAACTAAAGCCACATTTAATTGATAGAATGCTACATTGTCTAAGCACGATATTTGTATCCCTCACACTATTAATTCAGCCATCCGGTACGGAAGCCAAAAACATAGATTAAAAGATTTTTTTTATTATTTCAAGATCACAAGTTAATTATTTTTTAACAAAGCAGAAATTTCCCGTGGTTTTGGGTTAACTTGTCTCGTTATGTTGAGAAAACAAAAGGCTGAATACATGACGTAAGAACATAATAAATACTTCATGAGATTCATAAGAGTGGACCAGGATATATACACACTGCTCTGTGTGCTGGGAGTGTCAAAGCAAACAAAATTGACTTTTTATGAACTTTTGCCAATTGCTGTAAGGACGTTTTCATTTGATTTGATATGAGTGAATTTACATTATGGATAATTATTGTAAAGTAGCAGCCTACAGAAATACACTAATCAATGTCAAAAAAGGAAGCACAAGGATTGGATTAAGTGCAGCAGATGTGTGTATAAGTCACGGTCCAGTTTAATGAATCTTATAAGGTCAGTATTATCTTGAAAAATCTGTGTTTTATTTTCTCAAGATAACGTGATAAATGAACCGTTTATCACGAGAAAACAAGGTTTGTTATCCCTATGTAAATTTCAACTCAGGATCTTGAGATAGAACGACAGCAAAAAAGTTTGAATCAATGAGCATTTAGGGCCTCCGTAGTCTTGAGTCGTCTCATGACCCAAATGCTTGCGAGTCTAAAACATGAGAATCTTTCTAACCTCTACCATCCATCATATATGAGATAATCGTGACATAAGTGTCAGTCTGACACGTGCAGATGCAAAGAGCAGCTTTAGTTAGGGCTGCCAATTAAGGTTTTGCTTATACCTTAAACTGTGTTTACGATTGTATGTACACCTGTTACCACAATGACATGATACAAATATTAATTTAGACATTGCCGACAGAACAACTTTTAGTGGAGAAGCTCAGGACTGTTTGAGAGAGACAACATCTGCTGCCCTACAAAGGTTCTAAGACTAGATCATTGCATTCAGATAGCTTTATTGCTTGTTAATGTGGCTCCATTAATAGTTTTGTTTGGATTTGGAATGAAAATGATGATTTAAAGCTGCACTAGGTAACTTTTATGTCATATTCGCCAAAAACGTTCAATCTGATTGTCAGATTATCTGTCTCATGTACTACTGTCAGGATATAGTGAAAGTTTCAGCAAATTAAATTTTTAGAAAGGTTAGACTGGACAGACTGGTTTAAAGTGCTTTGATGCTGGTCGATGAGCTGGTTATGTAAAGATTCTGGTGATGGAAGAAGTCTTTGGTCACCCAGACCAGGTTTGCTCAGTCTCAAAGGACATTTTACATCATGTATCTGCAAAGATACTGAGTAAGCAAGCCCAAAGTACTATATGTTACGTTTTATACCAACAATCTTAGCCAATTATTTTATTTGTAACTGTGGTGGTTACACTTAAATTAATTCAAAATAAACAATCCTAAAACTTTATGTCACTTGTTTTGTGAAAATTTTACTATGCAGGAGAAATTATACTTTTATTCCACGCCTTGCAAGATTTTTTTGGATAAATCATCATCATCATAAGAATAAATCACTTGGCCTAATATTTTGACACTTTACTTGGGAGCCCAAAGAAGGTGATGTCAATTCATCTGTTCCCCCACCCACCACTTTAGTCCAAGATACCACCAACTACTATTGGTCAGATGACATTGAAATTTGGTACAGATATTTATAATCTCCACAGAATAATGTGAATGTATTTGGCTTGACTTTCCCTTTTAGTGCCATTGTCAAATGGCACTAACTCTACTGCCACTACCAACCACTTTGGATACAAGAAATGTCCAAATCTAATAGACAATTTACCATAAAATAGTACATTCCCAGAAACAATTGTGTACACTCTGTGAACTTTCCTCTAGCTCCACCCTCAGTCCAAAATATCAACTTGTCACATAGGATCTTGGGATGATCACATATCTAGTAGATTACCATAGAAAATGTTGAGCACATGACTCAGCTCCTGACTGAAGTAACCCCTTTGGTTTTAATCACCTCGTAGTCTTCCCTTGTCAGCCAATATTCACACCAAATGTTACACTTTCAGCCTGACTTTTGGTAAGGCTTTAAAACATGAAAATCTATCACTTATGTTCTTTATTCCTTCTGTGAACACTGCAGCCACTGGGGGCTGCTACTGGGGACACAGAGTCTTAGTCTTGCTTGTCTTTAATTAGTAATTGTTGTTGCATTTTTTAGAAGCCAGTTAAATATGTAGCAGGGTCTGTGCAGTGAGATCGTTTGAATTAAAGTATGCCATTGAATAAGCTGGATAAATCCATACAGCAGATGAGATCCTTTGTCGCTCCATGCGGCTTTAGCTGGCGTCACCGAGGATGGCCAGTATGGAGCTGGCCTGCGAGGCAAGTTTACTGCTGCTGTGATCTGTCAGTTTACAGAGGCTCTCCTTCATATTCACAGAGTTCAACTCCTCCTTCATCACGCCTAGGGTGGAAAGAAGAAGAAAGAGGTGTGAGATGGATTGCAGCTAGTGGAGGTAAAAGAATGCAGATTCACACCCAGAGTATTCTCTGATCATCTGTGAGTGAGAATGAATGTGTGTTTAATGCAATAGTTTGAGAAGCTATAGAAAGGAACAGTGTCTGAAAACTCGACCTCCACTGGACCTAAATTGCAGGGGTGTTTCCGGGTCGGGGGCCTGGGGTAGCACTGGCCACCCCATTATCATATGAAAGTAAATGACCTAACATGTCCATTGTTACCAACTATGTCAGTGCTAAATAATGCTTCAAAGTTAGGCTTAACTTTGGCGATGGAAAAACTAGCATGGCCATTTTCAAAGGGAGCCTTTGACCTCTGACCTAAAGACATGTGAATGAAAATGGGTTCTATTATATATCTATTCCACAAGTCTTCCCATTGCAGACATGCCACTTTATGCTAATCCCATGCAGTTTTTGGGAAACCATGCAGTTGCTTGCTTGTTATATAAATGTGTTATTTTCGACTTGTGTATTTCAATATTTCTGCATACTAGGGTATAAACAGTGTTGGAACTGCATACATTGGAAATGGAGTGAAGACACATACTTCGTGTCACATATGTATAAGTCAGTAAAAAAAAAGGCTGGAAACGTCCCTGCTAAAGTGGCAACATCATAGCTGACTGCTGAAGCTGCTCAAATATCTCAAACTGCAGTCCTTCTAATGGCCAGTGGATGCAGGCTCCAAAGAGACATCACACTGAGAGCTACTTAAGAAGGCATTTTTAGTCCTTTTCTCTGAAGATACAAAAAGAAATAGTTTCAATAATCTTACATTTTTAAATTTGATTTGACACATCATAGCTTCATCATTTAGATACTGAAGTTGAAAGAGGTAATATATGGTGGCTGCTCTGATTGTCCACTGATCAGAAGGTTGGTGGTCCTTCCGCTACATGTCGAAGTGTCCTTGAGCAAGATATTGAACCCCAAATTTTTTGCCATTAACGCTGTAATCAGTGTATGAATGTGGGTGAATGAGTTAGTTTCGGTTTGTGAAGGCCTTTGCCATCAGTGTATGAATGAGTGAATGTGGATGTAGTGTAAAGCACTTTGAGTGACTGCTCAAATCCTCATGCTGTCCATTTCTCCTGCTTCTAACACATCAACTTGAGGACAAAATGTTCACTTGCTGCCTGATATATCCCACCCACTGACATGAGCCATGATAACCAGATAATCAGTGTTATTCACTTCACCTGTCAGTACTCAGCCTATTTAATGTGCTTAAGTAATCAGTTTTGAGCTGGAAGCTGAAGATGAAAACACTGCAGATTCCACAGACATTTTGGCCTGGGATCAGATTCCACAGACCCTCTCATTACAGTTTGCACTTAACAGCAACATCTTGAAATTTGTGGTAGAACAGAACTTCTGTGAATGCGTGTTGTAAAGTCAAACACATACTGGAGTTAGCCAGGCTGCAGATGAGACCTAAAGCGCTGAACTTGACTTCGACCGCCCCTACAGGATCCTCCAACATCTTCTTCAGCATGGGCAACAGCTCCGCATCACTGAACGGGCCCTTCATAGATTCTACACACACCCACAAACACACACAAACATGCAGATAAACATGCATTTTAATACATGATTTCAATCCAAATTTGAAGATATCATATCATATACCTTAACTGAATCAACTAGTCAATTAGAACCAAACTAGTTAGTAGTTAGAAGATGTTAGTCCTATGTATTCCAGTGACTGGATCTGGCTGCACTTCCCGCTTCCCTTGCAATGTTTCTGTGTCTTCTTCATATTATACAAATACTTTCTGTTTGGAAGGGGAAGATGAAAGCAACAATTATTTTTTGCGCTTATTAAATAAACAACTTATATTTAGAATTTTCTCCTTGCAATAAAATAAAAAAACTCTTACAAAGTCTGTACAAAGTATATTGCATGGGAATGCAAAACAACAATTTCAAGAACCTGTGCCCCTTATTTATCAAGCATTTGCAAGAATCCACCAGACCGAACAAAAACAACCAATCAGAGGTGAGAAAGTTGGTTAATTGTTTAGTCTTATTCCCAGGGCATGAGACTCAACAACAAGTGTCTTTAAACTTTTCAACCATTCCAAAAAGTCTTTGGGCCCTATCTTGCCGATCTGAAACGCAAGTATCAAACGCAAAACGCAAGTAGCTTTGTGGGCGGATCTCGGGCGCTGTTGCTATTATGCCGGCGGGATAAATGACTCTTGCGCCCGGCGCAAATCTAAAAGTGGTTGGTCTGAAGTAGCTACATTAGTCATAGGTGTGCTTTGGGCGTAACGTGCAATAAACCAATCAGAGCGTCATCTCACATTCCCTTTAAAAGCAGGCGCGCTTGTTCCATGGCGGATTGCTATTATAACGGCGGATTTGCCAGGCACACGACAGGACCAGTTCACAGCCGAGGAGGCCGACGTTCTCGTCAGGGCCGTAAAATACCGAGAAGTGACATGACATAAATGTAACGCAGCCATACAATAAATAAAAACAATGTAACGCAGCTTCCCAGGAAGAAGACCCTGGCCTCGGGAGCAGTGCGCACGGGCCAGCTGAGGAGGGAGCAGCACAAACACCAAGGTGCAGAGGATCCAGACCCACTACACGCCAGAGGACCACCTGTTCCTGCAGCAAACCGGGTTTGACATGCTGGAGCGGGAGCTGTCCGGGATGTGGCAAAGTATTAATGCCCGTCCTGACCGGGTGGCGATGTTGCTGCTGCCTCTCAGGTGCATCCCCTCGAGTCTGCGCCCTTAAACTAGCATCGGAATAAGCGCCACTGACTTTAGACTAGGTTTTTCCTGGTCTGTGGCGGAATTGTTATCTGAAACAGCAAAATAGCACCAGGGACCGTTTGCACCGGAACACGCCTCCTCTTTTCGCTGAACCGCCCCCCGGAGCGCAAGTTGTGCAATGTGCGTCGAGTGCAAAATAGGAATTATACAAGCGCCAGTGTACAAAGTCAATTGCGCTGAGTGCAAGATAGAGCCCTGAATGACTTTCTCAGCTCTGATTGGTTGTTTTCATTCAGGCCCGGTGGATTCTTGCAAATGTCATTAGGAGCACTAGGAGGAGCCAGAGGAACCTGATTGTTTCACACATTATCTGTCTCATGTTCTACTGTCAGGATATAGTGAACGTTTTTGAATGTTACATACTGGACCTTTTAGCCTGTTGGAAGTTCTGGTCAGTGATAGACACGTGCATACTTCTCAACCTTACTGAGAGTTCACATTCAGTTCCAGTCAGACTTTGTAGGAATGATTCCGATATGCTTCATAAATTCAGGCCCAGAACTTTTGACTTTACACAATCTAAATTGCTTTACCGATGTCAATGGCAGATGCTATCGCCAGGGCAACTAGGGCCTCATTCTGCATGATGACGTGCTCACTCGTTGCCATGGAGATAAGGTGCCGAACCCCATCTGCTTTGGCCACAGCCTTGACAACTTCCTGTCAGAGAGAGGTAATCAGCCTGTTACAGATGTTCAGTGGACGTCCCAAGAGGAAGCTCAAATTTTCAGAATGAACTGACTCACAGGGTTGCGGCTGTGTCTGATGAAGGCAGCCAATAGGCGACTGGCTTCTCCTCTCACCCCTGCGTGGTCTTTGGCTTCGCACCACTCCATGACTCGAGCCAGAAGCTCAGCATCTCTCCCCAACACCAAGGCGGCCTCCTCTAACAAACGCAGCATAGCAGAGAGAGAAAATAGAACATATATTGAAAAATGGTAACAATGTGTAAAATCAAAAACAACTAGGAAATATGACCACAAGTTGCCAACTAGTTATACAGGGGGGAAGCTTTCCATTAGCAGAGGTAATAGCGAAGTACAAATATTTTGTTCTTCTCTCCAAAAGTAAAGCCAAAATGTCTCGATAGGTTATAAATGTCAAAGTACACGTCAAATACATTTTTGCTGATGTATGTTCAAGTATTCATTTTTCAAGTTCAGTTTTAATTAGTTATTTGAAGCTATAAAAAGGGTTTCACATCATGATTGACATCTGCTCGCGACTCAGTCAGCTGGGCGTATGGGTGGGACTTCAATACTATGGTCCCAACCCTGATCACTACTGCGCAGACTCAGACTCCGAATGGCGAAAGGTTGCAGCGGCCGTATGAATATTTGGGAATATTCTGGCTTTCTTTTTTTAATAGGAGGAGATGGAGACACAATGTCCATCTTTTATTTGTTGATGTTTTCAACTAGTGTTGGGCATTTTTCACAATTTTGGGGAATTTTACAGACCAAATGAATAATAGATTAATTGAGAAAATAACAGGCTAGGGAGAATGTAAATTAAGCTGAATGGATAAATAAAAAAAAAAATTAAATTAATATTTTTAACTGAGGCTTTCAACCCACAATGAATAGGGGTCCTTCCCTGGCCAGACGTCTCTGGAGGGACTGGGTGCAACCACCCACAAGTCCCCTAAAGCAAGGGAGATGACCTGAGGGGGATCAGATCTGAGACTTTACTATTACTACTACTGAATGCTATCAGTTTCATGCATGGTTAAGTCTTTAAACAGACACTTGTGCTCACCTTGTCCATCCACCATCATGCGCAGCGTACCCAGAAGCTTGAACTGAACCGGCGGCATGTCGGAGCGCAGCAGGGTCTTTATCCTCTCAGTCACCCCGTCCTCCAGCATCCGCACTTTGTTGGTGGCTGTAAAACACAGAAGTCATACTGATGCACTCTCCAAGTGTCTCAGTGGGAGTGGTGTCTGTGTTTGCACGTACTGCTTTAAATGGTCATATACTGATACTTTGGGTCAAATATTGACACTTTAGGTCCTAAAGTATCTATATTTGATGACCCGGGAATGAGAGTCGGCAGTTACCATATATATGTTTCTTGGCTCTGATTGGTTGTTTTCATTCACACACAGTGGATCTTTCTAAATACCATTAGGAGCACTAGGAGGAGCCAGAGGAACCTGATTGTTTCACAGATTATCTGTCTTATGTTCTACTGTCAGGATATTGTGAAAGTTTCAGCAAATATGATAAAAAATACCTACTGCAGCTTTAAATTATTAACTTTTTTCTTGCTTTACCCATGTAAAGTACATTTCTGACACTTGCCCATAGAAACCCATCTAAATTGTTTTAGTAGGTTTTTGAAGACGACTCAGTATGAACATGTATGACTTTGTCCTTTAGAAAAGTGATTATTAGTACCAGGAATGGCCAGGTTTCTGAGTGCGCTCAGTCCAGCATGTTGGACAGACACGTCTCCCTCATCAACATGCTGCTCCAGCAGGGTCAGGATGTGAGGAACCACACCGAGGTCCAGCATCTTTACACAGTTGCTGTCTGACAGAAATACAGAAGGACAACAAACATGCCTTCAAAACCTGATTGCTGTTTTACATTAATTATACTGTTTCAAAGTAATCCCAGAACTCACTCAATGCTCAGAATAGTTATCCCTTTCTTTCTTTTTTTGACCAGTATCTCACCATTCCTGGCGAAGTTGGCGATGGCCAGAGCTCCGGACAGCTGCAGCTGGGTGTTGGAGCTCTGCAGCCAGGACAGGACATCCTGATACACCAGACCTGTTCCCTCGCCGAAACATTTCTGCATTGACTCATCTGACACACACACACACACACACACACACACACACACACACACACACACACACACACACACACACACACACACACACACTACATGTTACTGAGGTAAATCGCTAATAAAACAACACTGGTGCACCCATGTCAGAGATTTCTGCTTTCAGGCGCAATACTCCACTACAAGTAAAAGTATGTAAGAATAATCAGCAAAAATACTTAAAGTATCAAAAGTATACTCATAGTGCAGTAAACTGTAACCCTAACCCTGTCAGTGTTTTACTACGATATCCGATGTTATATTAATATTACTGTTGCATTCATCTGTATGTTGCATTTAACTGCTATAGATATCTGAGATTGAGCTCATTTGAACTCCTTCATGTGAGCTCTCTACCTCTACCAGGTGAGCTATAGGGCTCCCCTATTACAAGAGGGTTTTTAAATAGTTTATTTTGCTTAAGAAGTAGGAGAATGCATAAATTAACTTTTCATCCTTCAGTTTATCAGAAAAAGTTGCATTCAAAATCTCGGATTTGGTTTTCACTGGACAGAAAGGGTATCACAAACTGTAATCTGAAAAGTAACTAAAGCTGTTAAACAAAACGTAAAACGTACAATATTTCCCTCTGAGATGTAAGTAGTTTTAGGTATAAAGTTGTAGAAAATCAAAACACTCTAAAGTACTATGAAACTGTACTTAAGTGCAGTACTTGAGTAAATGTACTTAGTTATATTCTACCACTGCAGATGAATGAGGTGAAAGACAGACAGAGATACATTGAAAGGCAGATAAGGACTGACAGACTGACAGAATTGTTGCTGTGTTTGCACCGGCATCACTCACCTCCTAAAAGTAGAGACACTATGAGGTTAGAGGCGATTTTGATGCTGCACAGGTCGTGGGGGTCAGAGCCTCCCTGCAGACCCCGAATCATCCCAGATAAAGCCTCTGGCACTCCTGACTCTGCAAACTGCAGCTTCAGTGTATCTGGTGGTACAGTACAAACTGGTAAGCTTTACTTTTTGCTCTTCATACTCAATAAGTCTTTCATGTCCCTGCCTCCCTCCTGAAGCACCCTGCAGGTCTTACCACTCTCGCCCAGTGAGCCCAGAATCTCCAGGATGACGTGACGGCGTTCGGCATCAGGCGCCCGTTTCAGTTGAAACGTCAATACATCTGCCACGTCCTGCTCCGCCAGGGCGTCCCGCGCAGAGTCTGCAAACACAGGGGTCTATAACTATAGACATTGTCAGCAGTAAATCATTATCCTGACTATCAGGTTAAGTCATCATACATCTGACATCTACAGCTGATTTAACACGGAAATGTCCCGCTCTTTTCTTGATGAGGGTTGATGGTTTAACTTTAAAGAGGTTATATCATGCTCATTTTCAGGTTCATATTTGTGTTTGGGTGGTCTGCTATATGTGCTTAAGTGAAACACATTGTTTTTCTATGTAGACTTTGTTGTTTAATTTAAAGATTGATCCTGCCCTTGTTGTTTGTTTTTTTTTGGGATGTACTATAGTAACGTAAGAACAGGCTGAATTCAAACAAGGTGTCAGGCAGTGTGGGAGCAGTGTTTTCTGTGGGAGACAGTAACTCTCATTATCATGGACTTTGGCTTTTGTCCCTTTTCAGAACTTTTTAAAAATCTATGTAATGCAATAAAGCACAGGAAATAACCCAAAAGCATAATATGGCCTCTTTAAACATTAAACAGTGCGGACCTATCTTCTTTTGGGACAGGGTTTGGTTCCTTTATCCTGATGACATTGCTGTGTAAGCTCTGGCCCATTGTTTTACATATTCTGCAATGAAATGAGTTGGGGAAGCACAGAATGACTAAAGCCGGATCTGTATTTGTTTGTTTGTTCTTGATTACTCTTGGCACTGTACACAACCGGTGTAAATGAGTGATAGAACATGCACAGCACAGCACAGAGATGAGCAAGTTAAAGTTAAATGGCAACCCTGCATCTGTGAAGAACATGTCTAATTACTGAGACGATGTGATTCAAATCACAGCAAATTTATAATTAATTACTATAATAAATACAATTACACAATAATCACCCATGTCAGCCAGGTTACAGAGGGCCAGCAGGCAGACGTTGACAAGGGGGTCGTTCTCTGGATACTCCCTTATTATGGACACCAGTCTGGGGATTACTCCACTCTGGACTAACTGGTCCTGTTGGTATGCTGAGGTCAGACAGAGAGAGTGGAAAGGGTAAAGTGGCACAGTGATGAGATATAGACACAGTATTTTATTATTTTGTTTGTTTTTAAATTTGTCTTTGGTGTGTTTGTTTGTGGAAAGGAAAATTCTAATTAAACCAAGCTGTAATAAAAGGTCATTTTTCTATTTAGGATTATAAGCCATACACAAAGTACCTATTTAAATCTGTCATCAGTGAACCCTGCTGACTGAACCAACACTGTCAGACCAACTCACAGTTGTCGAAGCAGATGCGTCCAATAGCCCTGCCGGTGTTCAGCAGCATCTCCTGGTCATTGCTGTTCAGGTGGGGAACCAGCACCTTCACCAGGCCCGCCTCAATGCATGGCTCCCTGACTGCAGCTACAACACACACACAATGATAAAATATTACCTCCTGAACTCAGTATGTCCCTTAAATGCCCCCTTTAATGTCCAGTGTGTAACATTTAGGAGGATCTGTAATATAACATTCATACCTATGTCTCATTAATGTGTAATCACCTGAATATAGGAATATGTAGAATAATTCTACAAAAAATGAATTCCCCACTATACTGTGACACATTTTCATATACAGTCAGGACAGTTAGAGAAAGTTCATCTATGTAAGGACGCCATACTAAATGCTAAATACATGACATTCACAGCTTTTACATTAATCTGAATGGCCAGGATAATTTATAATCTATTTAATTGTTATTAACAACATTTTACCTGAATCTTTTTTTTTTTTAGATGAAGAAGGATGAAAAACAAGGTAAAATCTCCCTCTGCAAGTCAAGTTTGAACATTTTTATGAACTAATGGTTTTCTTTATGCCAGATTTTAGGGGTGCCAGCCCCAGCCCCCCTCTTTCCAGCACCCATGTATACAGTATATATAGTGTTACAGTAAATATTCTATGCACTAGATCTGCTTGAACCAGTGTTTTATATATAAAAACCAGTGTATATATATATATATATGGCTGCACATTAAATTCTACTGCCTTGTCAAATTCTGTTTGACAGTTTTGTTCAGCATACATACATTCAACATTTCTCTGTAATGCAGCCTGAGCGTAGCTTCTCAAAAATGGCAACTTCACAGGCACCCGGTTAGCTCGGTCGGTAGAGCTGGCAACCCAATTACGCAGTGGCCCTGGTTCGAATCTGTCCTGCGGCCCTTTGCTGCATGTCATCCCCTCTCTCTCTACCCTCCTTTCCTGTCTATTTCCAGCTGTCTCTCTATCAAATAAAGGCCAAAAAAATTATACTTAAAAAAAAAAAAAAAAAAAGCCAACTTCTCAGTAGCACCATGAACCTTGTCAAAACGTCAGTCAAGGGGCAAAGAAGAAACTTTTATTTTTTCACTTTAATTACTCACAAAAGGCATATAATTTGTGAACTTATTGATGAGACAGCATACAACTATGTGTCAGTCAAACAATATATATATATATATATATCAGGCAACATAGATGAGAAATCCTTAAAGAGCCTGCTTTACAGCTCTGTGACAACTGGCGAAACTCCCTTTGGGATGGGACGATATACAATATTATTGCATATGGTGATAAGAAACATTCAGATAGGTGTATTGTAGTGAATTTTTATTATCAAGATAATCGTGAATATCCTCATAAGTGAGGATATATATATTATAATTATTTATTATAATATAATGTACATATTTAAAAGTTCCTATTACTATTCCTATTTCTTATAATGTCTTTGTTTAGCAACCGCCACGCAACCAATTTCCCCCCAGTGATCAATAAAGTATTTCTAATCTGGTCACCATCGCTGAAAGCTCAGCTAGCCCATCGTTTGCAACCCAAAAGCATTAAACAGGATGTGTGGAAATACTATGATGGATTCCAAACTAAAGAACAACATTGAGATGTGTCTTCAATGCAATAAAAAAGTACTATATATATTTTAATAATAAAATGTAAGGTAAAGTGATTCCTGTAATCATGCATAAAATGGAAATTTATCTTTGGCACTGGCATATGTCAACACACACTATACACAACAATACATAACATAACATAACAACACACAATAGTTCTATGTTACAGTAGAAAACTTAAAGTGACAGTAATGAAAGTGATGGGCATGTATGCTTTCATAATCATCACAACAGTACATAATAACAGCAGTAATTGACAACAAACAAAATAATAAAAAAAGGTATATTTTTAAATTTGTATTTTAAAAAAACATAATTGTAACATGAAATTTTGATATCATCCCATGGCTAGTTGAGGAAGACCATGTGATATGATCGAAGGCTCTAGACGGGCCACTAAATGGACCTTTTGTTGACAGTATTAGGGCAGTAAAGAGCTGTGGTGGTAAGAGAAAGCCCTAATGGCTACTGAACACATATCCCACTGGTGTAGTGATCGTCCAAAATATTCAAATTATTTTCAACAACATAACAAGTATAGCAGTATCCTACCTTCTCGGGCCATCTCTGCCACCACCAGAGCCACCTGGCAGCTCAGGCTGCTTTTACCCCGTAAGGCCTGAGCCAGCGTGGGTAGAATCCCACTTCTGGCAACTTCAACAGCAGCATCTTTCTCTGTGGACACAGAATCCAAAACCTCAGAGGATATCCACAGCATATACAATAGATATGTGAAGCAGTTTTTAGTTTACACAGTAAAGCCCTAATGTCACTCCAAGTCAAACAGTATGTGACATGTGAAATAGACTTTACCGACTCCTAGTGGTTGCATTAAAAAAGAAATGTTATGGTGGCCTTCGCACCTTTTCTCTACTGCCACAGTAGACAGTCTAACAGACCAATTGTGTCACCCCTTCCACGCTAACTGAAGTAAAGTTTTGATCAGGACCAAATAATCAGGTGCGACCCAACCCAAGCCTGAACCCGACGGGTTGTGTTGGGTCCCATCAGGGCCCATTCAGGCAGAGAATCAAAGCTCTAATGTAAAGTACCCTTTAGACATGCACCTTGTTACATATACAGTATATGATGGCAATTTTACATCTTGGTCACATGTCTGAAAAAGTCTCAGTTTCTTTAAAGAATCAAGGTCAAGGTCAAGGTTACTTTATTTGTACCTATAGTTAGATTTGGTTTGCAGTAAAAGACAAGGCATTCCTCTCGACAAAAATATAAAAACAACAAACAACAACAATACACAAGATGATACAAACATGATAAAGATAAAAGATAAAGGGGCTCCAGTCTCTAAAAATCAGGACTTACAAAGAGAGAACAATAAAAAACAACAACACTAGAATAAATAAGTTAAAAAAGGTAAAAAAAAATACACAAAGAAAGAACACAAGAAAAACTCTCTGCCACAACTTGTTGATCTGAATGACAGATGCTGGGACAAAGTTATTTTTATACTGCTTTGTTCTACATCTTGGGATTGTAAAGCTCTGCCCAGAAGGAAGAAGCTGAAATTCACTGTGCAGAGGGTGGGAGTCATCATTTAATGGAGCTGGTTATCTGCTGCAACTGTCTGCTATACAGGGACTCTGGGCAGGGGCGTTTCCAGACTTTTTTGAACCCATTTTTTCATTCAGATATCTTGAGGTCAGAGGTCAAGGGATCCCTTTGAAAATGGCCATGCTTTGAAAGTTTTTCCATCACCAAAGTATAGCCTAAATTAGGAGCATTATTTAGCCCCCTTTCCAAAATTCTAGCTACAACATGTTGGTACCAATGGATGTGTTATGTCATCTAGTTTCATATGATACCAGTGTCTTCACTCTTTTTAAAAGTAGTAGTAGCCTCTGAAAGAGTGGAAAAGCGAAAGATAACAGGGTGGCATTTGGGGTGGCCAATCAGATTTCAGGGGTGGCACCCCAGGCCCCCCTTCTGGAAATGCCCCTGATTCTGGGTTTAGCTGTGACTCACCAATAAGCCTACTACACAATTTGATTGAGGGAGTTTCTGAACCATGACACCAAAGAAAAAGATTGATTCAATAAAAGCACAATAAAAAAGGTCATCATGGTGGAAATAACTAACATGTACTGAGCTGTGTGAGGTGGTTTTCTGTTTGATGACCATCTGGGACAGGATGATAGGCCGGAGTAAATGTATAGATGGGTGCAAGGTAGGTCTGTGTGTGCCAGTGCATTACTTACTCTTCTCCAGCAGAGCAGCCAGCACTGTGTCCAAATGAGGCTTGAGCTCCTCCACAATCAGCTCTGTGCTTACACTGATCGCCTTTAGAGCCTCACTCAGGGAGTCTGCAACACACAAACACACCCACACCACCAAAAACAAAAGTTAAAAACATGGCAGTTTAAGAAGTCTTCCTTATCCAACCTTAGAAAACCAAAAGTCACTTTCTCGCCTCCAACCCCAACCTATCTCACAACAGCAGAGATATATGGGGAATAGAAAATTGGACTATGCTGGCTGTTCCTGAGTCCAGACTTGGGATCAAAAGCTACAGTGCTTTTGCAGTTAAAACCGCCCTCCTCTGGAACTCGCTGTCCGAGGGTCTGAGGCTTGCTGAATCAGTGACATCTTTTAAATCACTGTTTAAAACATATCTTAATAAAAAAAGCCTTTTATTTATTCTAGCATGTTTATTTCCCATCATGTTTTATATATTATATAGCTCTACTTGCAAAGAAACATTCCTAACTGCAACCATGTTGTAATACATACATACATCAATAACAGCCTAATTTTACACATGATCCATGTTGATCAAGATACAGAAAAATAGAAATGCATGGTAAGAATAGCATATTGTATTTTAGTATTAGTATTAGTATTGTCAGAGACTTGGACACCACAATCCTTTAATCCACGGCAATGTTTTATTACTGCTGGAAATGTGCTTTGCAGGCAATCACTATCTCAGTGTACAGAGGCTAATTGTGTTGGTTGGCTTGAAGCTTGATTCAACAATCAACTATCTTTCTCAGCTCTGATTGGTTGATTTTGTTTAGGCCCGGTCAATTTTTACAAACACCAATAAGAACCTGATTGTTTCACAGATCATCTGTCTCATGCACTGCTGTCTGGATATAGTGAAAGTTTCAGTAAATATGTTATCATGTTATTTTAATCAAAGTCACCTATTGCAGCTTTAAATGTTGCTGGTGCAAGGGATTGTGGGACGGCATTATCTCCTTCTTTACATCGTAAAGGATTGTCTAGTGCTAAAGGAGATAAGAAAGGAATCACTGAAGCACCTTTCCTTAGTATTTAGAGAATTCAAACAGCTCTTATCATGGCTGCCACTGAAATATTTCTAGGTCAGTTCACTCAGTTAGGAACCTTCCTAAGCAAAAAAGACACAAAGCTTTGGCCTTTTTCATTTCACAGTTTGTACACCCCCAATGACTTTTGGCGAGAAAGGCCTTGAATAGCATCTTAGTCCCTCCCACCCGAGATGTGAGCGGAGAAGGCGAGGAAACCTGCACAGCTGCATCCTGCCCATTGTTCCTCTGTCAGATGAGCATAACAGCATTCACAACTATTATATATTTACTTTTTTTGTGTGACAAGAATGTAGAGGTGTCATACACTTTTTTTTTATATCAGCCATGACCAATAAAGCTGCTGTTTCACTATAAAGCTCAGTTTATTGCATTATTTTATATATGAAAATGTTAGTTTGTAGTTTAAGCCAAACCACCTTTAAGAAATATGAAGTATATCAATTCCTTTGGTTCCTTTTGGTGTTAAACCAGATGAGATATACAACCCCTCCAGTGTGGTCTGGGTCTACCCCTGGGTCTCCTACCAGTTGGACTTGCCCAGAAATACTCCAAAGGGAGGCAGCCAGGAGGCATCACGATCAAATGCGCGAACTGGCTTTTTTCAAACCAAAGGAGTTTGATGTTCTAAGATGTTCTAAAGGTCAGCCCAGACATCCTACGGAGGGAATTATTTTGGCTACTTGTATCGACAATGTTATTCTTTCAGTCACTGCCCAACGCTCATGACCATAGGTGAGGTTGGAACGTGGGTCGAGTGGTAAATTAAAAGCTTTTCCTTCTGACTCAACTCCCTATTCACGGCCTGGTACAAGGCCTGCATCACTGTGGACGCTGCAACAATCTGCCTGTCGATCTCACGCTTTATTTTACCCTCACTTCTGAACAAGACCCCAAGATACTTGAACTCCTCCACTTGAGACAAGAACTCAGGCTTAGTCCCAACCCGGAGGCAGCAATCCACCCTTTTCCAGCAGAAAATGATGGCAACTCAGTCTTGGACTACAGGATGTATGAGGGCCAATAAGATAAGTCATTTCTAACTCATTATCAGAGGCTATATAAAAGCCTAATTTCTAGTCTGTTTATTATAAAATATTGTACTCTGGGTATGTCATCTGTCAACAACACCATATTGTGCTTCTTTAAAATACTAGAACATGTTTTTGTTCATGCTGGAGATGAAAAGAGGCTGCCTAAATCTTGTTCAAACCATTCATCTCCAATAAAGCCACATTAAAACTTTCCCAGTATCTCCAGAGATACTACATAAAACCCTATAGGAAATTAACAAAACCATGGTGGTATCATGTAGGAATGAGTTCAGAGCTCTACATAGTATTAAAATTATCTGCTTAATGATCAGAGCAAACAACAGTTTCACAGGAGAGCCAAAAGCGCTCCATGTAATATGCATCTTAAAACTTGCAGTGTAACATTTGTGCAATGCGCATGTAGTCAGAAGTTTGCTTTTCCGGTATAAAATTACCAGGATCTTTCTCATATGCTTCGACATTGTGGGGCCCATAGAGAATGTACAAGATTTTCGCCAGTCGAGTGCAGTGCTTGAATGGGGATACAACTATTTAACCGTGCAGCTCTTCTAGGCTCTCCAAATGGTTGGGCCAAATGGATGGATGGTTGTGACACACCAGAAAATGAATCCACCATTTTACAGCAGCTTCTTTCACAATATAAGCTTATGGGAGAAAGTTTTTTGGGGCCAGTGTGCATCATGTGATGTACGCCAGTGCTGTAATCTACTGGTTTGCCCACTATGTCAAATTGAGAAAAACCTATCTATAAGTGTCGTACTAGCGCTGGAGGTCTGGCTTAACCAAGACCGCAACTGTGTAACGACAACTTTCGGGTCTGTCATATGATGCACAGTGAAATAACTTTTTCCCATTCAGATTGTAATGATACTTGTTTTGGTGAAACATAAGCATTTGGGAAGACGTGCCTTAACATGGCTAAAGAAAACGGCTCATAAAACAGTAAAAGACGTGTGTCGACTATGTGATACGAAATTTGGTAATGTAAAAATAAAATTGACATAAGTTGATCATCTGTGCAAACTTGGTGGCAAGCTCAGAGGTTTTTGGTGTTGTTTCACATAAGGACAGGGACTTTGAAAATGGTAACATGCAGATAGCAGAATGGGAGGAGAATTGCATCTGAAATAGTTGGCCAATGGCAGGCTTATAACCACTCTCATCAGGCAGTAATCCAGTCCCAACCCCTCCACAATCTTTAGCCAACCTTAGCCAAGTTTTAGTTGCCTTACAGTAACACTGATTTAAACATACAAACACCAACATAACCACAATCTTTCACTAACTTTAACCACACCCATGGGCAGATAAAGCTCAACACACATACAATGCAATGCATCACACACACACACACACACACACACACACACACACACACACACACACACACACACACACTTACAGTGAGGAGAGACCTACAGATGGTAATCACCTCAGCTAATCTCTTGTAAGTCGAATGAAAATAGCCTGAGTGGAGGGGGCTATGTGGCTGATACACATCCTGCTATGTCAGGACCTAACCCCATGTCCTTCTGTGTGTGTGTGTGTGTGTGTGTGTGTGTGTGTGTGTGTGTGTGTGTGTGTGTGTGTGTGTGTGAGACTATGCGCTTCTATGTGTGTCTGATAAGAGAGCAGGTGAACTATTTACTAATCAGTCCCACAGAGTGCTACTAGGGAGTCCCCAAGGTGCTTATTACAGATGTCTCAACTACACTGCATATGTACTACATTAAACAAACATACATGCAGAGAGTGCTGAGAAGGCTGTACAATCTAATCCAATACAGTCCAGCATTAAATCCCATGACTGTGAAGCTTCTTATGTTTGGTGTTTACTGCTCAGACTGTGTCAGAGAGCTGTTGAATCGCCTCTATGATCATTTTTTAAAGCTGTACATTTATGATGCTGCCTATGAGGCTCGTGCCTCAGATCAGCAGTTAGCAAGACAAACAGTCAGCAGCAGCAGCTTCAGAAGAGGCTGGGTGTGTCTTCAGCTTGTGATACATGACAGCCACTCGCCACTGAACACTTTCTGTCCCTGCACTCTTGAACTAAACAGTGCACTCTTACTGCCCAGTGAGACAAACAGCTTGGTGTAGCTGATATTGTCTGGTTTGAGTGTGACATTGAGATACTGTGCAACTCTGTGCCTTGCACCAAAAAAGCTGACAATATTTGACATTTTATACAATGCAAAAAAAGAAAGAGATGAGCCCACGCTTAAAGACCCCCCTCCAGACATGTATTAAGTAAGGGATATTGCCCAACAAGGTATCCATTATCAGGAATTAATGGATGACATGGAGGCCATAACTGGCTATGGTACTGGAAGTGGTATGCCATATGGATGACAGGGCCCCATACACAGCCATCTGTTTTCACATAGTTATACTGAGGGGACACTTGGTGGAAAGCACTAGTCTATCCAGTTCAACAACTGCAATCATAGTGCATCACCTATTGGACAGATGTTACTTTCTGTCCACCCCATCAGTCATAAGTCTTCCAACACTAGGAACATCAGCTTCAGGTGGGAATGCAAGGTGGACAAGAGGGGACTTCAAGGAGACAGTAATGCAAGATTGCATGTTATGTGAGTTTGTACCATAAAAACTATGGATAAAATTGATTTTTGCCTTTTAGCCCCTATAAGAATATAGGATATTCTATATATTTGGTTGTGTCTAATCTGGTCTCAGATTCGTCATCAATAATACTAATTAATATGCTTTGACATTTTAGCCATATAGGTTTACAGCTGAAGAGACTATATTCACTAATGTGAATGATGACCTGTGCGTTGACCATCAGAAAAATTAACAGTGCTCCCTGATTTCTTTTTTTTTAATTTTGACTAAACTCCCCTGGCCTTCAAGGTTTTTAAAATGTAAAAGCCTAATCCTAACAAATCAAAACAACACAAAGATCATCTTAGTTCACACACATAATTAAAGCAAGAAGGTTTTCATAATCTATCAATGTTGAGTCTCCCCTTGAGTTTGTGGGGTTCACTGATATCAATCTTTTAAGTTAAGATTTTTCATGCACTCATCTTAAAATCTGTTTTTACTTTTGTGTTTTGTTCTTACGACCGAGCTACAACAAATAAAGATATTGCAGCTGACCATCAGTGATTCAGAAGAAGGGTAAAGAGACAAAGATAGGAGGGAAATTATTTAAATGTGAAATCAAATGAGGTGGCCACGTTCATTTTCACTGTTTAAAGCTGCAGTAGGTATTTTTTATGAAAATAACTTTTTGTCATATTTGTTGAAACTTTCACTATAGCCTGACAGTAGAACATGAGACAGATAATCTGTGAAACAATCAGGTTCCTCTGGCTCGTCCTAGTGCTCCTAATGGTATTTTTAAGAATCCACCGGGCCTGAACGAAAACAACCAATCACAGTCGAGAAAGATAGAAAGACACTTTGGGTTGGTGGCTTGAAGATAGTTGATTACTGAGTGTCATTACCAGCATCGGTATTTGACAACCTGGGAATGAGACTCAACAATCGACTATCTTTCTCAGCTCTGATTGGTTGTTTTCATTCAGGCCCAGTGGATTCTTGCCAATACCATTAGGAGCACTAGGAGGAGCCAGAAGAACCTGATTGTTTCACAGATTATCTGTCTCATGTTCTAGTGTCAGGATATAGTGAAAGTTACTTACTTACTAAGTTACTTACAAAATTTGTTGCGATAATATATTTCACAATTTGATCTGTGAGAATAGTTCCATAAATATTATATAGTCCATTAAATCATTTTGTTAGTAAATGCAATGTACATTTAAATTGATCCTGTTGCAAAATCTATTACAATTAAATTAGCTAAAATATTATTGGAATTAATTAAGATAAATCAATGAATGTCAGAAAAAGAACAATATTAGGTTGTACAAATGTTGTAGGTCTTGTTTCTTGTAGTAAATTAATGTGACATTATTTCAGTATATCAAAATCAATTCACCCATTTAGATAATGGATGAATCATTATTGATTCAGTGTCAGTCATGACGTAAAATCAACAACAATCCTACATTAAGCAATCAATCTATCTATCTATCTATCTATCTATCTATCTATCTATCTATCTATCTCACATCCTCGTTCCCTGCTGTGTGATGCCTAAAATCTCATAACCACAGCTGGTGTTACACGTCATCACTCGTATGAAACCATCCACACACACACACACACACACACACACACACACACACACAAACACACACAAACACACACACACAGACACACACACACACACACACTAGGGGATGTTAGATATATAGCTACTCACCGGTGTCTGTCATGGCTGCTGCTCGGCAGGCTCTCTACTGGCTGCCTCACTGCCTGTAAGCACTATATGTGTGTGTGTGTGTGTGTGTGTGTGTGTGTGCGCGCGTGCAAATGTGTGTGGCTAGCAGAGGAGCTACCCTCCCTCCTTAAGGTCAGGTGTACCCCAACTCAGTCTCTCACTCTGTCTGTCTGCTTCTCTCTACTCCTTGCTCTCGCTCCCTCAATCCCATTATCCAACTCTCTCCTTCCCTCTCCCTCTCTATATATAAATCTCTCTATCTCTATCTCCCTGCACCCTCCCTGCCCCCACTGCGCTTGCGTTCTCTCTCCCTGCTCATTTGCTCTTTTCCCACCTTACCCTCTCTCCCTCTCCCCCTCTCTCTTTCTCTTTCAATTCACAAATTCAAATAAGCTTTATTGTTCAGTATATCAAAGCATCTACTGTAAATAAAAACATGCTATCAGAAATAGAAGATTTTTAACAATTAAAGCTCCATTGTGTGTAACATTGAGGAGGATATATTGTCAGAAATGCAATATAATATTCATAGGTATGTTTTCATAATCACCAGAATATAAGAATCCTTGTGTTTTTGTTACCTTAGAATGAGCTGTTTTTATCTACAAAAGCTGCAGGTCACCTTGCATGGAGTCCCCCATGTTGAACCGTCATGTTTCTACAGTAGACCAGAAGGGACAAACCAAACACCGGCTCTAAATAAAAATGCGCTCCAACAGTTTCAGAGTTGAAAAGCTCCACAAGTGCCTGTGTGCCCCCCACAGTCAGACCACTGCAGCCAACACAGCCCCAAAACGGTAATTTGTAATTTTTGACCACTCTTATTCTGTCATTACATCACATTTCTGAATGTTTCCTAAACCAGAGACCCGCTAAGCCTGGTCTACTGGCATACTGCAAAATAAAGCGATACTGAGTTGGGAGTATGTAGCTTGTGGGTTCGAACACAGCATACGTCCAAAGATAACAACAAAGCAATTCAATTATATACAACATATAAGATAGCAGTAAAAAACCTAATAGTCTTCCCCATCAAGGCTCTACACCTGGCATCAGACAGATCTTTGCGCTCACTGCATAATCCGGTGGTAGCCCTATAAATGCCCTATGAATCCGAACCAGGGGGGTTCACAGACATTGCACCAAGTGCCAAGTGAGACATACAACCAGAAGTAATATCCCTGAGATATGGGAAACCATGAAGCAGCCAGGCAATGTCTTCCAACAACACACCCCTACAGAGGTCGGTTGACTACAGAGTGCTCCTGGTCCCACCCAGATAGCACAAACCATTGCCTCAAAACCTATGCAATCCCACCACACAACCCAAGAGCTTGCCACTGAACCATCAGTGGACCACCCTTGGCCCGCAGTCCATGGCAGAATAATATTTCCCATAAAACTTGTGCCACCAGCATATCAGCTGAGTATATGTAAAAGTACACAGAGCAAAGGCCCCTCTCCCTCCGGTATCCACTTCAGCAACCCTGGGCTTGAAGGCATATGGGGTGACCTTGGGTTGAATGTCCACAACTCCATAAAATGACAGTACAGCTATGTCTCCTAGCTGTAAAGCGGACAAAACCGCCATAGCCAGCTGTGTTCACTGCTGCAAATACCCCTACAAACACCCCCAAGGTCCCTCTTGTCAAACAGTCTACAGAGATGCAACACATCCTGCTGGAGGCAAGAACACAGGTCGGTGGAAATGTCATTTCACCAGTTCGTGAACATGCACCCAAAGCATCCCACATGGCTGGGAGAGCTAAACCATTTAGTTTCAGCCTCTCAACCTCCAAACCAGGAGGTAGTGTTCCAGGATGGGACAAAAATCCCTATTTGAATCAGTTCCATGAGCAGTGATTTGGACAACTTGAGCACACACAGCTGTCATTTTTGATGTAACCACAGTATGATGTTGGCAGTAACTATCAAAGAATGGCTGAGGCTAAAAAGTGGAAATAGAGGGTGAAAAACGTACTCGCCTTTGTGTTGCCCTCTCCGGTAAGGGAGAAATGTAACAAGAGAATGGACGCTTCCATTATTGTGGTCCTGGACAGAATCACCAATAAACCATGTGGGAGCCTGGTTGGGAACTCCTGTGCAGCAAGTGAAGGCAGAGGATAATAATGACAATTGGAGGAGAAAATTGACAAAGCAAAGGAATCGAGCAGGTTGAAGGTCATACCAAAGTTCAACAGGACTTGCTTTGTGAGGTGACACCACAGGGTTAGGCGTTTGTATGTTCCGAACCTCATTAGTGGTGGCTATTAGTCTTAAATCTCCCTAGCTAAGCTACCTATGGATTCCAAATCCCAAAAAAGAAAATAAATAGATAATTTAATAGTGCGTAGATCAATTAGTTTGCTTTAACCATAAACGCTGCTGGCTTACAGTATGCTTGATCTGTGGTGAAAAATTCAGATCAGACAGATTTTATTAGGGACCAAGCACTGACCAGTGCAAGGCCCTATTGTTATTGCAGGAATTATTATTTTTCTGCCTCTTCGACTGCATATTTGGCGGCTGCAACATGCTCGAAAAGTCAGGGAAATTTGCACAAAATTCAAACGTAGCGAGAATATCGGTATGCAATTGTCCCGTGCACAGGCGCCGCCTAATGGCTAAGCCCCCCCGAATCAGCCCTCAAGACACGTTCGACATGTACGAAAATCGGTACGCATATGTATCTTGATAAAAAAAAAAAGCAGAAAAGCCTCTTGGACCCATACCTCAAACCCAACAGGAAGTCGGCCATTTTGGATT